GACTCCATCAGACCTGAGCCCTCTGAAGCACAGGACAGCAGGCCCCTCTCACTGGCTCTTTTCATTAGCTTAATTACAACGTCTGGACACCTGTGCCCATGGGAACAGAGCAACTGAAACTGACACCTCAAGTCACTGGGACCTGAATTATTTAACTTCTGTAAAGCAGCACCTAGGCTCCGCTCAGGCCAAGCCTGAGGGGTTAAAGGGTAAAGAGATGCCAGTGTGAGAATCTGCAGGATATTGGGGCTTAAGGGTGAGAGGGGCCGGGCCGTCATATGGATGATAACTGTCCTCCCAGCTCTGCCACCACTGCTGAATTCTGGACCCTCCCTTTACACTGTCAACTCTCCCTCCAGGTGCTTGTTGCCAAGTGAGTTCTCTGCTACTGGTAGGAGTAAAGCTGAGCCTCACGCTGTTTCAAGTGACCCCACAAAGCAGGAGATGCAGCCCACATCCTCACCTCCAAGCCCCCACAGCCATCCCCATAGGAGCATCAGTGTTTTTCCCATGCCTGCACACCATGAGCTATACTGACGAGCAGGGAAAACACAGGTTTTATGGTCACTTTCAGCTGTGTTAGGAGCAGTCTGACGGATGTAAGATGCTGAAACTCTGGGTTTCAGCTTTCTCAAACAGGATAATAGGATTAACAGTCCTCATTTCAAAAGTTATAAGGATTAACCGAGACCACGCAATAATATAAGGCAAGCACCTAGCACTTTGCACTTAGCAATTTGCACTATGGGTCCAGTGAGTTGGTCAGGATATTTTCAGAAACACACACTTAAGATTCACAAGCCCCAGCCCCTGGCAACCACCATTCTATTTTCTTTATGATTTTGACTGCATACCTCATACAGTATTTGTCTTTTTGTGACTGGCTTATTTCACTTCATGTAATGTCCTTAAGGTTCATCCATGTTATGGCATATGTCAGAATTTCCTTCCTTTTTAAGGCTGAATAATATTCTATTGTATTTATTTACCATGTTTTGATTATCCACTCATCCCTTGATGGTCACTTAGGTTGCTTCCACATATTAGCTAGTGCAAATATGCTGTGAACATGGGTGTACAAATACCTCTTTGAGACTCTGCTTTCAGTTCTTTTGAGTGTATACCCTGAAGTGGAATTACTGGATCATATGGTAATGCTATTTTTAACTTTTTGAAGAATCTCCATACCATTTTCCACAGCAGGTATACCTTTTTACATTCCCGCCAGCAATGCACAGGGGTTCCAATTTCTCCACATCCTCACCAACATTTATTTTAATTTAATTTTTTTTGATAGCAGCCATTCTAAAGGGTGGAGGGTGGTATCTCATTGTAGTTTTGATTTCCATTTCCCTAATAATTAGTGATGTTGAACATCTTTTCATGTGCTTATTGACCATTTGTATATCTTCTTTGGAGAAATGTCTATTCAAAGCCTTTGTCCAGTTATTGAATTCTTTTTTTGTTGTTGAATTCTAGGACTTTTTATATTCTAGATACCAATCCCTTATCAGATACATAATTTACAAGTATTTTCTCCATTCTCTGAGTTGCCTTATACTCAGCTGTGTCTTTTGATGAACGAAATTTTTAAAATTTCATGTAGTCCAATTTGTCTACTTTTTCTTTTGTTGCCTGCACTTTTGGCATATCCAAGAAATCATTGCCAAATTCAATGCTGTGAAGCTTTTGTCCTACATTTTCTTCTAAAATTTTAGATTTAGGTCTTACGTTTAAGTCTTTGTCCTATTTTGACTTAATTTTTGTATATGGTGTTAGGTAAGGGTCCCACTTCATTTCCATGCATGTGGATATCCAGTTTACCCACCACCATTTGTTGAAAAGACTGTCCTTTCTTCCATTAAACAGTTTTGGCACCCTTATGAAAAATCACTTGACCATATATGCAAGGATTTTATTCCTGGGCTCTCTATTCTATTTCTATTTCTAGTCTGTGTCGTCTGTATGCCAGTACTGCAGTTTTGATTTTTATAGCTTTGTAGTAAATTTTGAAATCGGGAAGTGTGAATCCTCCAACTTTGCTCTTCTTTTCCAAATTGTTTTGACTGTTTGGGGTTCTTTGAGATTCTATGAATTTTAGGATGGATTTTCTATTTCTGAAAAAAAAAAAATGCCATTGGTGTTTTATTAAGGATTGCATTAAATCTGTGGATTGTTTTGGATTGTATAGACATCTTAATGTGTTCCAATTCATGAACATGAGATGTCTTTCCATTTGTGTCTTCTTTATTTTGTAGTTTTCAGTGTACATGTCTTTGGCTCTTTGCTTGTTTATTCCTAGATATTTTATTCTTTTTGATGCTATTGTAAGTGGAATTGCTTTTCTAATTTCCTTTCCATTGTTAGTGTATAGAAATGCAACTGATTTTTGTATATTGATTTTGTATCCTGATACTTTACTGAATTCATCTATTAGTTCTAGCTGTGTGTGTGTGTATGTGTGTATGTGTAATCTTTAGTTTTCTACATATAAAATCATATTATCTGCAAACACAGATAATTTTATTTCTTCCTTTTGGAGGTCTTTTATTTGTCTTCCTGCCCTAATTGCCCTGGCTAGAACTTTGAGTACTATGTCGAATGGAAATGGTGAAAGCAGACATCCTTGCCTTGTCACGCACAGTCTTTTCTTCAGCGGCCTCCTCTAATCCAGCTGTTTTTAGTTTCACCTCTGGGTGGTAGTCATCATCTCATTGGAAGGTACAGCTGATGTGACATTTTCTTCTATTATTTTCCTTTCTACTTCTTGCTTCAATTTTCCTGCAGGTGCTTTTCCAATAATTCAGCCTGCCTGTTTTGCTCCTTTTACAGTTTTTTCTTTTTGTTTTTATAATTTTTTCCTATAGGTTTTTGCTGTCAAGGCATACTCACTGCTTTCTGCCTCCATTCTTCTCACATATGCATCATCCACACAAACCAAGATGTTTTCTGGATTTATGTCAGTATGAATGATCTTGCACTTACTGTGTAGATAATTTAACCCCTAGAGGATCTGTTGAATGATACTCTTCACACAATGAACTGGAAGGCTTTGATAATTGGACTTGATGATCCACCTGAGAAGATGGTGGCCAAGCACTTCAAAGACCATGCAGACATATATTACATTCATGCCTGAAATCTTGAAGTCATCCATTAGCTG